ATCCACCCTTCCTGCCGCAGTTGCACTGGCTTTTTTGATGAACTTCAAGAGGTGATTATTTAGATCCCAAGTGATAACCATCAGTTTAGAAAGTTTCTCTGGTCTGATTAATACATTTGGCTGGCGGCATTTTCCATAAAGTCAAATGACTCTGAGCTCGTAATTTTAACCCTCATCTAGTAATTTGTAGCTTAAAGCTTATAATATGATGTTGTGCATTTCCTTGGAGATCTATCTACGACTGAATAAAATTATACTCTGAAGGACCTTATGGTTCTTGTGAGATTAAACGTGCATATTAAATTTTAATCCTGGAATAGCGCTAACCGGCCTTTCGGGAGCCTTACGTTTAGTGACTGGTAAAGAGGCTTTATCACGCTATTTTCTTTCTTTTTAAAAAGATAAAACTGTTTTTTTTTTGCATCATTTGAATTTCAAAAATAAAGGTCCTCAATGCACGCCCAGTTCATAAAATGGGTTCTGACATTTTTCTTCCTTCATAGAAAAATGAACACTTTCAATTATTAACCAAGAAGGCTTTGCAAGACACGTCTTTTTGGAGGTCTAAATTTCGGAATAAAGAAGGCTCGTCCGACCGAAACAGGAACTTTGAGAATCTCGCACACATCTCATAGCCTCATTGGCGAGAGGGCAAATAAGCGGCGAAGCTTCAAGAACGCAAAGCTGCACTCATGGAAGCTTCAAATACCATTCATTTGTTCGTTCGTTGTTCATGACCTGGACTCATACAGTTACGGTAAAAAATCTGTTATTGACCGTTTGATCTATCTACATTTTTAGAAGTACGTGCCGATGAAAAAGCCTGTGAGTAATCTTTAAACTTTTTGAGGTCGCAAAATGCAAACGAACTAATTCCTTTTTAAAAGTTTGAAGAAAGAAGGCAGCAAATTAAAAAGAAAGAATCTTGAAACGTATAGAGTTTTTATCTTGTGGCATAATGCGTTTTCGTGTCGCCCATAAATTATAGATGATTATTGTCCGTTGATCCGCCCCTATTTATAGTCTCGGTAGAATAATCCCCGTGTATCGTGGGTTTTATGGTGGGTTGTTGCTGTTCGCTGTCAGTTCTGGTTACAGTACAATAATTCTGTATATTCTAAGTTGTCGTGAACGGTTTCCGACGAATAATCACACTCGACAAGGAGGATAAAGCTTCGTCCTCTCTTGCTCTCGATAGGGTTGTCTACAGATTTGCTTTAATAGATTTACGGTCACAGATGTCCTAGGTTATCCCCGAGAGCTACTCTGTATAATGGTCCATACGGGGAGGCTCCGTCCGAAAGGGGTATCTTTCTCAGGCTTCAGGCATATGAAAGGGTAGGGATTTCACCAGTTGAAGGGTATAAAAGGGTAGGGAAATCTGTCATTTGGGTCTGTAAAAGGGCCAAAAAGGGCTAACAGATGAATTTTATTGCTTAAAAAAGTCGAGAAAACATTATTTTGTTGTGATTGATTCCTATTTAAAAGACAGTGCATTTACAGCAGTTAAAAGGGATGCAAAGTTCAACAAGGTTTAAAGGGGTACCATTTCTCAATAGAAGGTACACGAAAGAGGTACCTCTTTCGTGAAAAATGGTAAAAGGGTGAGGGGTTGGACCTCGGGGCGGAGCCTCCCCGTACTGTAAACATTTGTTGAGTACCCCTTCCCCCCCTAAAATGTAGGCACTGGAACTGTTTCCCGACCTGCCGTCTGTTGCTACGGATGGCAAGGATGGACATGGATTAACACTTGAAAACGAAGGGCCAATTTTTTCAAGTTTTAAAAATGCTATGCCTTCAAAAATTCACCAAAAATTATTATGGTTAGTTCTTTGGAGTATGGCTTGATACCTTCTTAATGACTACGGGAGCATTTGGCAAGTTATGAAAAATGACTTCAGCACAGAATTGACATAAAACAGCAATAACCGTGGCCCCTTAATTACAATAATGAGCTCGCGCTCCTCCCATCCCACTAAGACTTCTTGAGGAGAAGCAGTAGACTGGATCCGAGAGAGAGGTGGGAATCTTGTTCACTTCAATGATGAGTCACGAGTAACGGAGTAATGTCAGTAATGATTACACCCATTCTGTTATCCATAAAAATATAAGCAATCACAAGAATCAAGAAAAGAAATTCTTGATATAAGCTAAAAAGATGACCCCTTCAACGAAACATGACAATCTTTGAAGAATATCGATACACCTCGTTTCATTTACTGATTTTAAAACACTGAATCAGATGCTCATAAGAGGTTACGAGTTTCTTATTAAATTTAAAAGAAGATTACATTACCCGAAATTCCCCTAATAGATTCACTGTTTAATATTGAGGCTTCGTAGACTCACTTTTTTATGGTTACAACTTTGATAGATTCAGCTAGCTAAGAATTCCATGGGATTCCGTATAAGCTCGTTATAATAATTTCCCTATAACAGTTACGAACTGTTTTACTTCCTCACAGCAGTGAGGAAATAGCATGGTCTTTTCCTACGTTAGTGACCAATCAGTCAACACGTGATGACACGACATTTTAATACTTCGTCAAACTTAGAGTAGTACAAAACCGCTGTCTTGTAGACGCCCGCTATTAAATTAAACTTCGTAAGTTGTAATTATTTAATTAGTCTGAGTAATTTGTAACTGGTAACGACATATGCAAAGACTGCAAAGCTTTATGAATTTCGTAAGAGATAGAACTCTAAAAAACTATGTAATATTATTATAAAAATACCATTAGTCTGTGTAACTGGTAACACTGGTAACAACATATGCAAAGCTTTCTGCTTAAAGAGCGACCGCCCCCAATAGGTTTATCAAATAGTGACAAGTGATGACGTCACAAAAACTAAATTTGTGACATTATATTTGGAATTGGTTGGCACATCCAGAGATAAAAAAAATGTTCACTTGTTACTGACAGTGCAAATTGGTGAGGAGATATACGCCAGGTTATGGTCAGATGACTGCAAATAAATTCTTCTAAACTAGGCCTGGAGCGTTGACGTTACGATCCAAGCCAATTTTAGAAGAATGTGTGTATGACGTCATCAGAGCAAACCGATGCTTATTTCTTTTCACCAATTGGCAATAACAGCCTGATTTTTGGGAAGGGCATTTTTTTTTTCACCTCGTTCTTTCCTAATATGCTAACCAACCTCATAAGCTCACAAGTTTGAATTTTTGTGATGTCACACCTCTCCTCTCTATCGAGACCACTTTTAACAAAAATCCCCGAGATCGCTAAAAAGAGCTTTCACTGTAGTTAGTAGTATTCCCAACTATAAAAGAAAAAAACTTGAGGTTAGTTACCGGGCTAATTATCTACATTTCATGTATTTTAATTTGCGACAAAAAGTTCTTGATAGGATAAATATAATACGGAACAATACTAGATGATAGTCAGATAGTTAATTTACATAACTTGCAACCCACAAGTTGAATTACTCCATATTTGCATGGTAAAAAATATAAAATAAAAACACACAGACTAAATCGTCACGTAACTAAAAAGATGAAAACTAGATCTACAAATGCGATAAATTCTCAAAATACCTAATTCTTAAAATACAATCAAATATATACTCAACTTATACATACACTTTATTAACAAAAATTAACATTTATATGAAGTCCATTTCCGCCCGCAAATGGCACGTACTAGTCGAAGCGGGCGGAGATACAGGGGTCTGTTAAATTTTGGAATCTAAAATCTTAATCCTTTAGTGCGTTAAAGACAATAAAACTTTTGCGAAATCTCTCAGTAAAGAGAGTAGACTTGTAGATTTTACGGCATAACTGGCTATGGTCTTCCTCCAAAGGTCTTGTGCTCAACATCACAAATACAGACATTTTCGTTGCAACATAATTGAAATTGCCCTTCTCTCCAGATGCCTGAGCTCATTTATTAGGTACAGTGAAAGGGCATGATGGAGGGTTGGTATAGCATAACCGATTATTGCTCTAACACATGACATATACATCTTAACGAATAGTATTTCAAAGCACTACTTTTTAGCTACTTTTTCGTTTTAATCACGACTAGAATTTTTATTGCGGGGACAATTTTGGCGCCCCCGCCAAATTTTAAGGCACAAATTGTCACAGAAACGCGAGAACGTGGCAACTATGTCCTTTGAATACAACGAATTGACCTATATATGCAAAACGGTACAAGTAACTTTAGAGCATAGGACAGGGGAAAAAAGGAAATTTTGCTATGGGCGTTCGTGCTAATTTTCGGTACCGTTTATTTTTTGCGCAGGTAATAAAGTAGAGCGCAAATATAGATCTGCGACCTTAATTTTAATTAAGGTCGCAGAAAGTTCTCGATACAACGAAAACATTAACAACAGACCTATTCAGGACTACACTAACCTGTACGATCACTTACTTGACTAAGGCACCTTCAAACTTGTTGGCCCAAACCCTGTAACACACATATATTCATACAAACATACAAAGATACAAACGCTCAGACCGCTGACATATAAGCCATTTTTTCAAAGCAGCTCAAAATGTCTAGGCCTGAAAAGTTTTTTCATTGATTGGATTTCACTAACACGACTGTTGTCAATTAACATTTGGAATAAAGTAAATAGTAAGAAAAATTATACTCCCTCCTTAAACGAGAGAGTGCAGTGTAGCCTCCCACGCAGATGTTCGTTTAGCTCGTTTTGGAATCCTTCCCAAGGAACACGTGAGGAAACCCTAAAAACGTATCTCAGGACTGAGGCTAAGTGCAGTCTGCCGTGATGTTGTCTTTTAAACTGGAAAGTAAACCCAGGGGGCACTCCCTTATTTGGCCTAAACGGGTATGTGCTAATTTATGTACAATTTTACTTTTTAGCTTATTGAACAGAGTGTCCTTTTTGGACCGGAAGTGTCCAAAAAAAGTGTTTAAAAAAGTCAAATGTCTGCCTTAACTAGAGTCAGGCCTTGATGAAGCCCCTGATGGCACACCTCTACCAAAGTTCCCTTGAGTGCCCCCCCGGGGCAGTTAACCATGGACCATTGTCCACATTCTCTTCACAAGAGCATTACATTGTTCACGCCAGCTGTATACTTTTCCATAAGATTCTTTCAATACCTTCATCTCTTCAAGCCGCATTGCATACCTGGTACGAACAGCTTTAATCGCTTCAGCCCACTTTACAGGATCATCTGAAGACACGATGCATGTATAACCATGAGGAACACTTTCTAATGCTTTGGCAAACCCTGACCTGCTTCCAACAAGAATAGGTAGGCCTGCAGACAAGGCCTCGAGGGCAACAAGGCCAAATCCTTCTGATTTTGAAGGCATGATGGCAAGGTCAGCTTCACACAGCCAATCCTTTATTCTTTCTCTACATCGTATAAATTGCCTAACAGTCAGCTGTGCTTCTGCAACGCCACGCTGAATAAACTTCTCTCTAACCTCTTCTTGTTTTCCTTCAGGTGCTCCAACAAAGATTAGATGATAGGACTCGTTTTTTAGCCGCTGATCACTAAATGCTTGGGCAGCAATGTTGTATCCTTTTAGTTCAAAGTCCTCATCGTCACCACGACCAAATAACAGCACTTTAAATTCGGCATGATCATGAAAAGATTGCGTTAGATCCCCGAACTCCCTGTAAAAAAGACCTGGAGTAAATGGAGAGACCTTTTGATCTGCCTTAAATCGCTTTAAATAAGAAGAGTACGCTTCTTCCAGTCTAGGTCCTACAGGTACCACCAGATCAGCAAGTTTGCAAAGTTGGACTTCTTCCTGATGCTTTGCTTCCCCTCTCGAAATGGAATCAGTGTAGCGCTTGTACTTGCTAAGGTCCTCTGGAGCAGTATGTACCACTTGTACCCACTTAGAATTTGGAAATTGATAAGAGTTTCTCATGACTTGTCCTTGCCGGCCAAGCTTAACGCCATGACCAACAACGACGTCCATGACGTGGTCCTTGGGTGGAAAGCACAACCAATCAAGACGATCAAATGCGGCAAGTGCCTTCGCCTCAACAATACTGATGTTATAGCTATCAGCTTCTTGATTTTCTTGCCACGTGCAAGCTCCTTCAGGTACTAGCAAAGAAACTCTCACTTCTGGATTCTCTGAAAGATGAATCGCGAGCTCTCTGTTTAACGTTGAGAGCCCCCCAGCTGATGATGCCCACTCATCACCAAGGAGAGTAATGTCTAGGACTGTCATGGTAGAAGATACGGCACTCCTTCCGGTTTCCTGATTTTGTAGTGTGGTTTTTCTAGTGGTCTCAGGATAGCAAGCCTGCAAAAAGGAAGAAAATAACAACGAGGCATCAGGGAACCCGAGACCTAGAGACATAATGGGTTAAGCATTATTTGTGTTGCACGTCTACTCTTATTTGATTTGCTTCAATGTTAATTTAAAAATTATGTGCACTGTTATCTCTTCATATTGAGACACGATACTAGGATCGATTAGCAGGCTCTGTTCGGGAAATGAGCCCGCACTCCTCCCCTCCGCCTCCTTCTCGGGGAGGACCAAGAGAGCGACGAAAATCGTGCCTAGGTAAGAGACACGTCCATCAAAAGACAGATGACACTCAAGATGCTATTTTTAGAAGCACACTTTTCGTACGGCTATTACAACAGGGTTTCCTGTGAATGCTGCAAGTTATGAATTGGGAAAATTAATTTCTAGTTGCATTCTTAAAAAATTTTTATGTCAACGACACTACAATACGGGTATTGTAATTCATACAAATGCCCAATATCGTCATAAAAGTCACTTCAATGGGCCGCTACATAAAATACTCAAATAAAAAATACAGCTCTTCATAAAAAGAAAGAGAAAAAAGATTGAACCTTCCTTCCTTCCGTGTTCTTGGGTGGTCTTGGTGAGGCAGTCATGGCTGTAACAGCAATAGATTAAATAATAATTAACACTACATAATACTTGATTTTGAATAGACAGACTTTAAGAAGTATCTGGTTGTCTTTCCATGGACACATTAACTAGTCTCTTTTAAATACAAGTTTCTCTGCACTGCCATTAGATCAGCTTCACATTTTCAGTAATTCCACACACGGGAAATATCTATATTACTTTTTTTGTTTTAAAGTCGTCCTGCAATCCTTCACTGAAACCTTCGCCACAGTGACAACACAACTGTGGTGCTGAAAGCTTTTTTGCCATTGATTCGATATAACGTATTAATGTGTTTCTGCCACGCGTGAGCAGAATCTTTTTCACACAACACTGTTTTAAAAAAAAGGTTGAAGACTTGTTATTTGGGCGTCGCCCAAATAGAGTAATTGAGATCGCTTGTTTTGATTCAAAGTTGCAATAGGCACGCAATACGTGCGAACGTAAACAAGCCAAGCGACGCGACCAGAATGCCTGCCGCGCGATGTATCACGACACAGCATTTATCCTCGTGACATAAATCCCACAGATAACGCTCAGCAAACAAATTGGCAAAAGAAATCAAACGTATTGAAAAAACAAGGAACACTGAGTGAAACGAACTATGAAATAATTTAAATTATTCCTTTGGAAAATAATTGTCCGCGCAGCACACGGCTTGAATGTTTTTCCTCCGGACCATACAGACTATTCATTGCCAGTAAGGACATTTCCTCTAAGAGAACGATTTTTAAGAAATTTGAAGGTAAATCTGTCGAAATAATTGGAATTGACGGGTTTGGCTTATTGCCGAGAGTTTGACAATAGTTTTGCCCTCATTTTTCGAGAGCCAAAGAAGATGTCACGCAAAACTCAGTGGTCGTGCATGAGAGTTCAATAAGGGTAATATTGAATGATGTATAATTTCATTGCAGATTTTTGGAAAGGATGTCATTTCTCAAAATCTTTTTGAGCAAAATGATCTCGCAAACAAGTTGCAATCTTTCACGTTCGAACCGTACAAGGGACAGAGTCCAACATCTTCACGTGCAAACTGCGTTCATGACAGATTTTTAAAATCCTTGGGTTAATTAGATTAAGTCGTATTCTCTCGTACACGAACCACGAAAGCTTTCACGTGCAATCTGCGTGACAATATAACTCACGGCGAGGGCCTGATTACATAAGCTGGGCTGGTTAGCTCTGCCGAGGTAACTTTTATCCCGACCCGGTATTACATGAAAAGGGCCAGCCCTGAGGCGCCATTTTTATATAGAGGTAGGAAGCAATGCGCATGAGCAAGACGCATCTGAAACAATTTGCCAGCAGAAGTTCATCAGCCCGGGATCTCGCGACTTTTAAAAAACGTTTATCCAAATTAAAAACTTTCCCTCGACGAAAATTGTAAATGCCTTTTATGCTCATTATAAATTACAAATGTGTCAATTCTTTTATTCTTATTCTGTATTTTATATATTTTTACATCCTTTGTCCTATGTCCTATGTCTATGTCTAGGGCAACCTGTTCATTTGCCTAGTAGTGCGATTGTGTGCGGAACTGTTAAAACTGAAATAGTTCTTAAAGAATTGCGAGCATTGTCCTTTAAAGCCTCTGTTAACGAGTTCATTAACATGGTTCTCTCGTCTATTTACCAGAGATGGCTAGTTAAGATAACCTAAAGCTTTGTCAACGTCGCTCATGTTGAAAACAATTTTAGCGTTACGTCTTTGAAGCCTCTCTAGAAGAAATGTTGCCAACACTGCAACAATTCCACACGGTGTCACAATGGGACGAATATAAGCTGTGTAAATGGAATAAACACAGCCTGATGTAAGATTCCACCTTATGCGTGCAAGCATTCCCCGTCGTTTACCAGCTCGGGATAATACATACTTAAAATGAGAATTCCAAGAAAAATGTTCATCAAATACAACTCCTAAATACTTAAATTCAAAAACACGATTAATGGGTCGGCCCTTGAACGTTACACTAAAATCTGCATCAGAAAGCCTAGCGTGAGTTCCAGACAACATAGCCTCGGTCTTAACTGCACTTAAGAAAAGGCTGTTATCATAGAGACATGATCCAATTAGATCAAGATCTTCATTGACACTTTTCTCGATTATTGTAGCAGCAACCTTCCAGAATAGAATAAGACAGTGTCATCAGCATACATTAGCATACTACACTTGCGGGCAATAGTGTGTAAATCGTTCACATGAAGCACAACAAATAGAAGAGGTCCGATGATCGATCCTTGGGGCACACCAACACAAATAGATTCAGAGTCTCAGACAGATCCCTGAAACCCAACAACCTGAGTTCTATTACTCAGATATATAGTAAACCACTCGTATTCTTGATCTACAATGCGCAGGGCATAAATATTCTTTAATAGCTGGGAATGGTTCACGATGTCAAAAGCCTTGCGGAAGTTTATAAAAACAGCTCCAGTCATTTGACCTTGATTAATATTACGTCTTATTGTATCCGCTAAAGATAAAGCCGCAAATTTCGTAGGATGCTGTTTCCTGACACCACACTGATATGGGCTCAAGATGTTATGCTCCAGTAAGTAATCATTTAGTAGCACATGGACAGCCCTCTCCAGCAGTTTAAGGGAAACACATGTGCTGCTTTCCAAGCATGTGCAACTTTACTTGAGAAGCATTAATGATCGCTGTAAGAGGCCTCACGATAACAGCAGCACTGTCTTTAAGAAGACGCGATGAAATATCGTCCCGGGTAACAGCTTTTTTGGTCTTTAGCCCTTTAAGCTGTTTCAGTACGAAACTTTCGGTCACGTCAGTAAACTGAAATACAGGGTGACGACGCGTCACAGGTAGGCTAGAGCTTCTACAGGCTAAACTACTGCACGCTGAAGCCACAGGACTCCTAAGGGAGTCTACAAGGCTAATTACAGCGTTTGTGAAGTACTTATTAAATGCATTACCAATTGAACGCTTGTCACTGGAAAGATTGAAAGGTTCATTGTTATCACCAGGCAAAAGTTTTTTCACTGTTCCCCAGAAAGCATTACTGTCATGACCATCCTCCTCGATAACGCCGCGCCTGTTATACGCTTCTTTAGCTTTTATAATCTTACCAGTGACGCAATTTCTGAAGTAGCAGTCTTTTGTCCAGTTCTCTGAAAGGCGTGTTTTGCTTGTTTTCATTACGTTACCTCATATCGCGCTTTATATCACTGTTTAACCATGGACAATTGTCTCATCCACGCACGCGTTTATGCATGACGGGCGTGTGCCGATTAGCAATGGAGACAAAAGCGTTTTGGAAAAAAAATCCCAGAGATAATTAACACTTACACTCTCATGGTCTCCGTTAGGGACGGATGCTTCGTGCGTAGGGCTTACATGGTTCACACAGGCGTTTTTGGGAAAAAATTAAGCACTTTTCAAGGACTAAAATCATTTTTTCAAGGACTTCTTTCTCCCAATAACTTGAAGTGAAGACTTTTCAAGGCCTGTGCGAACTATGAATTAAATCAATCCCTTTGCGGTCTTCACAAAGCTTTACAGGATAGTAATTCACATAGTTCCTAAATGCTTTCATTTGAGCTGGCGCCTTTTTCCAGTTCAGTTTTTGGACGCAATAAATCATCTCATGATCACTAAGACTGGCACTTATAACACCCGAATCACTGTTTGTTGCTATTGAATCTATCACGGTAACGGCGTTGGAAGCAATTTGAGTAGGCTCATTGATAAGTTGTTTAAATTGCAAGGTCTTAAGAGCTTTTAGTTGTTTACATTCGGGGGTGGATGCTCTCTTGGCTAAGAAATCCGCGTTCAGGTCACCGTCCAAGTACAGTTACTTCCATCTCAGTGCATTCCAGTCCTTGCCCCTACTTTTTCACTTCCGCTACAGTCCGAATACCTTAAGGTGGCTCGACCCAGTATTCTTGTAGGTACACCTTCTATCTTTGAATCTCTTAGACTTAAATAAATTTATCTTTATTGCAAAACCATTATAACTCATGTATTACACATAGACTAAACTTTACTATGATATTTTTGGGGGGCGATCAGAATAAATGTCAATTGACAACGACGTCACAATAGTTTTAGCTCTTAATCGAACTGCAGCCCTTATCGGCCTTTTTTTAGAAATGCCCGACGCTACCTATACTTTGGGTGCTTGTCTTCTTTTGTGCGAAGTTTCACAAAAATCTCTATGAGGAATTTTGAGATATCTTGCAATTTCTACAAAAAGGGCATAAATTACGCATGAACTGAAGACTGGACTTGATGCGGACAAATTTGTTACTTTTTGGATGTTTCTGAAAAGTTTTTATCACTCATTCGTTTTGTAAATGACCCTCATACACTCTACAACCAGCTAAATTCAAGAAGACTTGCGCGGTTTCGAAAAACACGATAACTTGTAAATCAGGGTAAAACGCAATGCCGAGTTCTTTTTGTAATTTTGAAAGGCTACTTTCAGGAAAACAGAGATGGTTTTACAATAAAGATAAATTTGTTTAAGTTTAAGAGATTCAAGATGGAAGGTATATCTACAAAAATACTCGATCGAGCAACCTTAATTCAGTGCCTAATTTCAAGAACGAGTCCGTGTATAATGGGGCAAACAACACGAGACCCACAAGTTTAGAAATAGGAAACCAAGATTAACAAAATCCTCGAGTTTGGTGTCTATCGCGGGCGTATATTTAGCGAGATACAACCATTCAAAAACTCCAAAAAATACGGACATTCAGACAGTGTGTCCGGCAATCCACACATCTGCTAGTAAATTTTCAAGTTCTTGGGTATCTGTATTTTGTCCACTACTGGCCCGAACACCAAACTTCAGCCTCTCTCTGACCTTGTGGGTCTCATATTGTTTACCCCATAAAACACAGACTAGTACCAGCCCATCTTGGTTTGACACTAGGCAATGGGCTAAACTTTAAGTTTGATCTAATCCGACCAAGTCAGCAAGATCTTCCATCAAAACAAATCGCTTTTCTATTATCTTCTTCACAACAAACTAAACAAGCAACGAACAATTACAAAGAGGTATTTGACAAACGAATTACAGCTGAAGCAACTTTATAAGAAAAAACTAAAGTCACATGTTTGAAAAGAATCATCAAACCAGCGTGAACAGAACTATGCATCAGGCAACAATCTACGTTAAAAGGACCATAGATTTCATAGTTCACATAAAAGTAAATCTGCATGATAATGTCTGTTAAACTCACCCTCATTAGTGGGCGGCTGTAATTCCATTGTACGGTACTCTGGACGGAAGCGGTGCCCAGCAAGACCACCAAAACTTCCTCCACCTGGGCCACTTACATTGGGTGGGCTTCCCATTCCCCCTTGAAAATAGTCTGAGAAACGAGGCATCTTCTTCCGCCTTTCTGCATAAAACGGCTCTCTTTCTAAGAACAAGAATTTATAAAAACATCTCGCTAAAATGAAATCAAATTTTCCCATTTATTAATAAAATTATTTCTGTCATTGTGTGTAGTTTGCAAAGAAATTCGCATATGGACCAGTGCAACACAAACTAACTACTCATAAACCAAGTCAAAATGAAGCTATTAGACCAAAGTTCTTCAAATTTTGTACTCTTTGTTCTTAAAGACTTCGATTTTGGGCAATGATAAAGTCCTTGGTAGGAGAGAAAAGTCTTATTATAAGAGTAAGGCTGAAATAACTGATGAAAAGAAGGCTTTTGAACACAGTCATGCGCGTTACATTAGATTCAATAAACACCCTCTCCCTGTGGTATTGACTATTTGCACAACATTCTGTAACATAATTACCGGTGTTTTTTTTAAAGCAAAATCTATGTCCACAGCTTTAGTTGATTCTACAAACCATCCAAGCCATTCCTCTTTATTTTTAACTTAATTCACTTCTTGTGATTCTGATGAGACCTAGCCTGCGAACGGAGACGTCTTTTTGGTGGGAAATACGTCTGCGTTCGCAAGCTAGTTAAGATTTTGGCTCTTTTTGTTTTTAACTAAAAGTACTCTGCCTTAAAGTCAGCCACATACCAATGATCTGTGGTTGATAAGTGAACTCCACAGGTTCACTGGTTTCCTGGTCAGACTTCCGCCTCAGTTTAACAAGAACCTTAACAGGACTTTCCGTAGAAACATGCCAGTATGCAGGTGTTTTGAACACTATGGCAACCTATAATAATCCAGATACAACAGATATATCAGTCGGTCCTTTGTTTTATCAAGGTTTAACAATAAGGATAGATATTGATTTTAAATTATTATTTTTGCCAAAAAAAACTGCACCTGTCTATGAACGTCTGTAGGAGCAAAGATCCCCTTAGCTTCCCATGACGTCCTGCCAGTAAAAGGGTCAATCTCGTAGAACACAACTTCAATATCATCTACAACACAAGAGGCATCAATCAACACAAGAAACTGATTTATATTTTGTTTCAAAAAAGGATGAGGCTGACAGAGTTTCGCCAGCAATCAAGGCTTAGACGTTTTCTACGACTCACAGATTTTCTGCCTTCTTTTCTGGCGTGGGCGGACTGTAAAAAACCGTTTGATATGATCCCACATTCAAATGTTGCAAATGTTTGAAGCAGCAGAGAATATGGTCAAGCTTTTGGAAAAAAAGTATGGATCAGTGGAAAACGGAAATAGTGACAGGAGGATAACCACTGTATGGTAAATTCACACTGTTAATATACGGAGACAAAATTTCCACTCCACTGCTATTTGTTGTGGCCCTCATTCCTCTATGGTATTGAGATAAAAGCTGGGGTATGATATGAGAAACAGGAAAGGCCTTATTAATCATCTTCTGTTTATGGATGGTTTGAAATTATAAGGGATGGATGAAAAGCAAGTGCACACCCTGGTGAATACTGCCCGAATTTTCACCAAAGATATTGGACTGGAATTCGGCATAAGCAAATGTGCATGGAAAGGAATTGCTTTAACGGATGCCATATCCATCAGAGAGCACATCAGGAACGTGACGGGTGTAAGTACCTTGGAGTACTGGAGGCAGATGATGTGAAGTGAAGCGACATGAAACCGTCAATATCGAGAGAAGATTTAAGGAGGATAAGAAAGATTTTAAAGTCAAAGCTCAACAGTGGAAATGTTGCAACGGCAATTAATGCAGTGCGGATCCTAGTCGTACGCAGGACGCATGTCGTACACGGACCTTGTATTTGGCCTAGTAGCTCGCCACGAGTCCTTCGTCGCTCAGAGCATCCGACCGGTGTACGAGATTGCTGATTGAAAGGAGGTATCTTGAAGAGAGCAGTGTATGTTATGTTACCGTAAAATTCCGAAAATTAGCCCCCCTCCTTGTATAAGCCCCTCCAAATATAAGCCCCCCAAACTCATAACGCAAAAAAACCTCCGTTACATCGCCCCTCCGAAGATAAGACCCCTGGGAGCTTGTACTTGGAAATTGCCCTCAAATACAAAATAAAACAAAGCTAAAACGGCAAATTTCCTCCCAACTATAAGCTAGCCCAATCGATTTTGAAACGCGAATTTACCTCCGTACATAAGTCCCTCCGAATATAAGCCCCTCAAAAAAAAGCCCCTCAAAAAGGGCCTTTGAAAAATATAAGCCCCGGGGCTTATTTTCGGAATTTTACGGTATTTTATTTATTTTGTTATTATTACTTTTTATTCATTTCATTTTTAATTATAATTACAATTATTATTATTATCATTTCATTTATTTATTATTTTTCTAAAAAAATTATTTTAATTTTTTCATGTTCCGAGATCTTCCGGAATGTTCCATTTTCCTGGTTTTATCGATGGCCAAAGAAGAAGGGCAAAGAAGGCCCTCTAAAAGTCCGCAAATTTCGAGAAAATCGCAAAAGTAACAAGAAATTTTATTGCAACAAGAACAACACGGTAACAGTTATCACAAGAACAACAATATTAACAAAATTCGCAAAAGTTCAGACTTATAAAGGCGAAAGGCAAAGAAGGCTCTCGAGAATTCAGCAAATTTCCCAAAAATTGCAAAAGTAACAAGAATTTTTTTCTTATTATCAAACACAAACGTTAAATTGAAATGTTCCGTCTTAAATAAATTCATTTACACCACTTGGCTGTTCGTTTGAGTGGCTAGAAGTCCAACTTGTACGTAAAGTTCTCGGGACAATTTGCTGAAATCCTAGTTTACAATTGAACACTTATCCCACATAGAACAGTCCTCATATCATGGCATCATGGTGGCCCCATGGCAAATACACAGGGCCAGCACGCCCTCTACGTTACAATGACAAATAAAGAAACTCAGAGTGCACCCGAAATTTAAGGTGTTTCAATACAGTTTTTCGGAGGCCATACCGATATTTTTCAATCGCCTTAATCGGCTTTTCAGTGGTAGGTCTAGATCGCGCAAAAATTGGGTTTTTATCGACTTCAAAGTTTTTGTTTATTGTTGTCACAGTGATTTCGATTTTACTAAAACCTGCAATTTGACAAATTTCAATTCACAGTCAATCACTGGTGAAAATTTTATAGCGATCGAACAAGGACAAGATCAGTTTTAAGGCAATTGAAAAATATCGGTATGGCCTCCGAAAAACTGTATCGAAGCACCTAAAAAGACACTTGATTACCTTTCTGCACTTCGTCACAAAGTAAGTAGACCTGATCATATCCTGTAGCACAGCCAGTTTTCGGATCCATGCGACAAATGTTAAGATTTGAGGCTGATGGGGCTCCTGACAGAGAGAAAAAAACAGTAAAACGGTACTCAAGAGGCACTTCACATGATAATCAAAGAAATGCATGCCCTAACACTACAGGTGAAATCTCTGCCGCAAATGTCCGCTGCTGTCTTAAGGAGGTAGGAGAGGTGGGGATGTAATATACTGGAGGGGAAACAACATTGTTATTTTAAAACAACCCTATTCTTGCCTATTGATATATAACGCATATAAAATACATCCATAAAACAAAACCACGGGATCGGGGATCAAGGATCAGGAATCAGAACTTGATTTTGTTGTTGTTTTGTTTTTTGTTTTATTTTTCGTACCTCTCTCTCTCTCTCTTTTTAATAAGGAGAAAATTAAAGGTGCCTGGTTGCAGGTTCATAAAACACTAGCCTAACAACTAAAGTCATCTGATATTTCAGTTGATGTTAACAAATTCATTTACGGACAGAAAACAAAAGGCCACAAAGATCAAATGAACAACGCGCTGTGACAATGGAGAAACACCCGCTTCCCAGGAATATATTTCCTTTATCAACCAATTCGCCCCAACGTCGTCACTTCTACTGCTTGTGACGTCATCAATTTCAATGGTCAAGGGCAACTCTGTCCGCTAACTTGTGCAGAGTGAAGAATTCAAACCATACCAGAATGAGTACAATTCAGTCAAGGACACCAGAGAAAGGAAAAGAAAAAACCACGTAAGATTGAGCTGCAAATTTCTATGAAAATACTTTTCCACCACCCACCTACCGTTCCCTTCATCTAATTCTATAATCCTAAAAGCTTTCCTAAAACCCTTTTCCCATCAAAATGAAGCCTATTAAATGTCCAGCAAAAAAAAAAGGCAAGAAAAGAGAAAAAAGAGGGGACACGAAGAAGGCCACACGGAGGACACTTTTGCTTTAGAACATCCAGACCCCGGGAATTTCCAATTCAGGGCGAAATTGTGATACCCCCCCCCCCCCCCCCACCTCACCCACCCAACAGCATTTCTGTGATTTTCAAACTTGGTTGGAAAAAATTATTTTCGTCAAAATGCTGTTGCACAATAATATTAAGCGAAAGGTATTTGTTTCTGCGAAAAGTGAGAAAAAAATCTTTCTATTCATATTAATACATTGTCTAATAATCTCAATTTTCCCTTGACGAGATCTTTTACAGCTAATAATTAACAATGCAGGCTATACCTTACACTACTGACTACACGAATGATGCCCTCTGTCATCCATTCAGACAAACACAAATATAAGATGATCAATGCAAACGATAAATTTTGATTTGACATACCGGTTAATGACAAAGCAGCTGTTAGTTTTTAATAACTCACGAATCTTACCAGGAGCTTCTGGAAAAAAAAGCCTCGAGAGGCCACCCCAATCCCCCAGGAAATTGCCCCTTTTTGGACCCTTCCCTCCCTCCGGAATTTCCAATGCCCTTCGTTGCGATGTGGATATTTTCTGGAACTACACAATCATGATCTTTAAAATAAAAGAATTTCTACTCACAGGACAATTTTTAATGGGAAGGAGCTTTTCCACATGAGTTTTTAAAATTCATTCACATTCATCGCAAGCGTTTTTTTTTTCTGGAATTACCACTCTAATGGCTAGGTAGAATAATGATCCCTGATTCTAGAATGCTGAGGGTAAATTAAGCAAAAGTTACATAAAGGTCGTTAATACATAAAGGTCCCCCCCCCTCCCCCAAATAAAAACCATAAGGATTATTGCTCCTCAATCTTTGATCCATGATCCCCAATCTTGATTTTCCACTAAACCACTGACAAGTATGTTTACTTACGTGATTTCGTATAATATTCGCACTGCATACTTAATGTCCCGACAGGGAGAACTAAGTTATGGGAGGAAACCGCGACTGCCATGGCGACAGGCATTTCGTATAATGAGGGTATGCGACATTAACAGCCACCAGGTGAGGTGGGAGGGGCGAAACTTGGAAGTCACTTCCACTGAACTCCGTTGAACTGGCCAAGAGGCGCGCAAAAAACCAAGTCATTCTAAGCAACGACCGCAATGCATCATGCCACCTGCGCGCGTGCTCAACACGACAGAATTTAAAGGAGTTTTTTATTTCCCGCGTCACGGGCCAATTATGCATGCAGTGAGAATAGTGGCATAGCAGAAAACCTCACGTTCGCGTCCTTTAAGTCGTTTTTTGTTAGTTCGTTAGTTAGTTAGTTGGTTGGTTAGTTTGTTTTTGTTGTTCCTGTTCACTTTTTTGGCCCTACTTTTTTCTTGGTTTGGGGTTTTTTATCTCTACTCCTGGCCCTTTTCCTGAGAATTTGCGAGGTTCTGCGAGATACCTATTTGTAGCTATTTGAAGAGTTAATACCGAGCTGCGTATTAAATATGATCTGCAATAATGAAATCTTACGGGAGGAAAGACATGACTTGTTATTATAAGAGTAAACACAGAGACAATGCAAGCCACTCTTCATTCCCTAAACAACTTCATCTGATATAGACCATTTCTACATCATTCTGTAATGTACTCTTAGAAGAAAATCTGCCTTAAAAAGAGCCACATACCGGACATTAGTGGTTGATAAGTGAACTTCACAGGTTTACTGGTTTTCCGGTCAGACTTCCGCCTCAGTTTAACAAAAACCTTAACAGGACTTTCAGTAGCAACATTCCGGTATGCAGGTGTCTTGAACACTATGGCAATCTGCAGTATACATATAACAGATGTTGCGTAAATCGCTTTTTGTTTTATCAAGGTGCAACTATAAGGATATTATAAGTAACTGTTATTGCCTATAAACCGCACCTGTCCATGAACATCTGATGGAGCAAAGATCCCTTGAGCTTCCCATGACTTCCTGCCAGTGTGAGGTTCAGTCTCATAAAACACAACTTCAATATCATCTACAACAAAAGAGGCATCAATCAATACTAGGAACCGATTTATATCTTAAAAGCTGTCAATAGCGAGAAGTCGTTACGTCACGTTGCCATGGTAGCAAAATTTCTGGATAACAAAAAAAAAGAAATCGTCACTTAAAAAGTGAATTTGTACTTTTTCAAACTTCATTGCTCTTATGTTATTTGTATGAATGTATGCTAAATATAGGCACTTCTCTTTCAAAATTGTAAATGATTATTTTACATTGAGCCAACAAGCGTGATCAAACAAACAACAAGAACAACTCCAGCATTTGGGTACCGTAATTTTTCATTTGCATCTTGATATACTTTTCTCTCTAACCAACATCGCTCTCTTTCATTCAAATTCAATTCAAAACCCTAAGGGCCGATTATTTAAACGGAGTTTAGCTAGTGTTTAACAAAAACGAGTTGTAAGCCATTTTCAATTTGCCCAACGGTTTTAATTGAACACCATTTATTGTGAACAGTTTTATGAAAGCATACAGAGTAGACTAGAAAAGTATTTATCTTCATAAAATAACCCACCAAGGAAGAGATCTGAAGGTCCAAAGATTTGTTAAACCGCGGCTTAAGTTAAACTTCATTGAATAATCAACCCTAAGATTCATATGTTTCAATAGCTCTTTTATGAAGCCTACTGTGAAGTTTCGATCCAGCTCTTTTATAATGATAATGATAATGATAATGATCTGTGTACCAAGACATAAACTTTTCAATTATATACTGAAGAAACCAAGAGAGAATAATGGGACAGAGAGGGAATTGTAGGGCATTGGCTGCTATATTTGAATTTCAATAAAGATATTCTTAGAGGCTGTAATTTAGTGGAAGTCTAATTCCTAAGACGTCCGCAAATTTTCTTGGATTGTTTGAAACGGCATCAAGTCCATGTGCAGCTTCCTCGAAGCAAAAAATACAGAATATAGTTATGACGACTGTTGAATTTTCTCTTGACAACACTGAATAAAAGTTTGAGCGAAATTAAACGTTTTCCTCTTTTAAGAATTTTGTTAACTCAAGTAAATGGTAACAACTCAGCATGTACTACTGATTTTCGTTGCAATTGGGAGGATTGCTAGGCACTCAAGAAGCTGCCTCGTACGACCATTACACTTCACTCGCACTTAGCATCCTCCAACATGCAACTACAACTCAATAGCACACACAAGCGAACAATTCACCATTTGTTATATAGCACTTAGTTACCTTTCTCCACTTTGTCACAAAGTAAGTATACCTCATCATTTCCTATGACAGAGCCAGTGTTGCGATCCAAGCGACAAATCTTCAGATTAGAGGTCTCTAACAGTAATGGAAAAATAGCCAAGAGTTATGTAAGAGACAATCTGCAAAAGATGCTCAAAGAAGTGGATGCCCTATCTGACCTATCTATACTCTGTTGAAACCTTCCCACATTGGCCACCTTGGGCTTGGTCGTGAGAGTAGAGGGGGGGGGGGAGTGGACCCGCGTTCCCCCTAACTTTTGTCAGGAAAATAACTTTGATTCAAGAAGACTTCATTTTGTTGGTAAGGATACCCATGGACCCCCTTACAGGAATGGGTCTTCAACGCATTACAAGTAAGTATGCCACTAGCACTGCTAACCATTGTGCCCTGTTGCTAATCCTAATGGTGACCTTGGTCCTGGTTTAAACCAAAATTTTGCTAGTTCAACTAGTTATTGCAATTACGAGGCTGCCAAAGATTTGAATGACTTAATATCCTTTTCACTATTTCATTAAATGCCTGCGGCCTATTTAAAAACCATGATGTCCTTTACCACTTACTAGCCAATATAAATCATAAGTTTTCAGTTCCTCCCATAACTGAGACATGGGTCAAAGAAAGTAATGTTAATGACTTAAGTTTTGAGGGTTACAATTTTGTTAGCAACTATCGCGCTAATATAATTGGCGGGGAGTTGGCCTCTTTATTGACAAAAATTTCTCATATAAAATCCTGCTAGAGTTTAATGTTTCCAATGCAAATATTATTGAGTCTCTTTTCGTTGAAATTTGCATTCAACGCCAAAAAATAATAATTAACAATTAATGAATGAGGCTGAGTATCTTAACTATGGCGATTGAGGCAGGTGTTATCTCCATAATTCTTCATATGATACAAAAGCAGAATTCAATAATTGTTTTATTATTCATTCAAAATAATTCCTAGTTTAAAAACATAGCTAAAACATGCTTACCTCCATTGATGTCAAGTTCATCTTCGATAGTGCACCTTTAGGGTTGTTCAGCTCAGCAAATATTCTCCAAATAGCAGATGTCCCCCTTCAAATTGTCTTCTTGCTGTTCTACCATATTTTTAGCTATTATTTCACCTAGTTCTTACTCTTGAAATGAGTGAAATGTCCGCCATTTTTGTTTTCACAACCAAAACATGCACAACTCAACCTCATCTCCAGGTCTCCTTGGTTAACAGTGCATTAACCTGCAAAGAGGCTGTACTTTTGACGTCATCGGTTGATGATACATGCTTCCCTTTGGAAACTTTTAAAGGTAAAGCTCTAATTTCCTTCAGGAAACCTTCAACCTTGACTTACAAAGAGCTTACTTAGGTCAATGAACAAGAAAAATAACCTATACAAACAATACCTTGGTCATCGATCAAATGAAAAACTTCCCAAATACGAAACGTTTAAAAAGAAACTAACTAATCTTCTTAGAGTCGCCAAGAGGTTCCATTTTCAAAATCAAATTGAAGTAAATAAGACTAACATCAAGCAGATGTAGAGGATTTTGAATAATGTAATAGACCAAAACAAAAAAAAAATTGACATACCCGTTAGTAGATGAAAATGGTGAAAGCATTACCAGCACAGAAAAAGTCATCAACAAATTCTGTAAATATTTTACAAATATCGGTCCAAATTTGGCCGATAAAATAGACCCTGCCTTCAAGTCATTCCAGGATTTCATAAAAAGTGAGCCCTCAGACTTGATGTCTAGCATTACTCATGTCACCGCCAAGGAACTCAAAGCAATAAAGAAGATTTTAAGGACGGTAAGGCCCCCGGAGCTGACAACATTCCAATTTCTATTATCAAAAAAACGCTTGACCTTATTTCAGATTTGCTGCTATCAATAAATTATTAACCCATCTTTGTCATTAAGAGATTTTCCAGATACACAGAAAATATCTAAAATTATTCCTATCTTTAAATGTGATAACGCTAGCCTAACACAAAACTACCAACCAATTTCTATACTTCTGCCTTTTCTAATATTTTTGAAAGAGCTGTTTATGATTGCATATTTTAATTCTTAGATGATAATGACATATTATTTAAACATCAATTCGATTTTCGTCCTGGCCACTCTACTTCCCACGCGTTGATTAATTTTGTGAGCAAAGTCACTGATGCCATTGGCTGCCAAAAATACAATGTATCTAACTGGTATATTTCTTGACTTATCAAAAGCCTTTGACACCCTAGATCACGTAATGCTTCTATCAAAATTGGAAGAACGTGGCATCACTGGGACAGCCAATCAATGGATAACTGACTATTTTCGTCATAGAATACAATTTGTCCAAATTGACGATTCTAAATCTGATGCTTTAAGACAAATTTGTGGCATATCACAAGGCTCGATGCTAGGTCCCCTCTTTTTCATTATTTATATCAATGATCTCCCAGCCTGCTCTAATGAACTCGAATTTATATCATTTGCTGATGACACAGTGATCTGGATGTACTTACCTCCCATCTTAACAACCAGCTGCAAAAGCCAATAAGTTATCAATCAATGTTCAGAAAACAACACTAATGATTTTCAGACCAAGGCAAAAAACATTACTTATCACAAGGCAGATTATTATAGAAAAAAATGTACTTGAACAAGTAGATAATACTAAGTTCCTCGGAGTTTATATTGATCAGCACCTTACGTGGAAAACTTGTATTAATTTTGTGGCTAAGATTTCTAAATCTGTTGGGTTACTTTATAAAGCTAAATACTTTTTGCCCTCAAAATCTCTTCTCCTCTTACCTACTGTAGACAACTAAAAGAATTTACAAGAATACAATTCTGTCTGGATTTGATATAATGTTTCCACACTTAATGCGGGCGAAATATCATCACATTACTCTCTCTCAATAACTCTCGCCTTCTCCACTTAAATCATCACATGTAAACTTTGCTGACACAGTCGATTTATTCAAGATCCCGGATGTAGATGAGCCGTTTTGAGAGGGACACATGGACGCAAGCCTTCAAAACAAATTTTTACTAACTCTCTGGCCTGGTCAGAAATCAGCATCAATTTTGCTCTCGCCGAATAGTTTTGACTCCTAAAAGCTACTTTTTGAGGCCAGAGACTTGTCACCGCCCACATCAAAGCTCGTAATACGATGCCTTTCCGTCTCAAGCCCGAGATCAGTGTTTCAACCGTTTAGCAAAAATGAGACGAAATACGGTAACATATTGAACGATGGCAGACTTTGCCAATCGTGACACTTGTTCCTTCATAAGGCTTAATGATGCCTTCCAGAAAACTTTGCTGCAGGCGGTCAAAAAGAAACCTAGAAAATTAACCAGTCACAGAAAACTGTTTCTACAGCGCGCGCTGATTTCAAATGTCATAGTGTTTTATTGGGGGGGGGGGGGGGGGAGATGTACACACATGTTTTTTGATCTACTGCAGCTTTTATGGGGATTTCTGCACTGAAAAGATCATTTAAAAAAATACAACAAGAATGGTCAAGTACTGAACAAGCCTCAAATGAGACTGTTGCTAAAAATTTCTGGAGGTACCTTTTATCAAATCCAGACAGAATTATAAATAAATAAATAAACAGTACATACAGTAGTGGGACACCCAAAATAACTAAAAAGCTAAACTAGCTGGGTGACCATAATTATGATAATTAAAACTGTGAAAGTCAGAAAAGAGGCACAACAAATACATCGGTACACATAAATATCATAACTTGGCACAAAAGTAATAATAACAGAACAAAACAATAAATAAATAAATAAATATAAACCATCAAAATATCACTAAAGATTAATAGAGACTAATGACATGTGGAGTTAGTTCTTTTTTGATTGGAAGTACGTACGACACTTGAATCTTTCATCCAGTTCATTCCATAGTTTAGGATTTAAAAATCGAACATTAAATTTGCCATAATTTGTTCGAATTTTTGGAAGATAGAAAGTAGATCTAGATGCAAAGCAAGTATTTACATGATGTTTACAAGATGTTTTAACAAAAACCGAATCAAAGATCTTTGGTAGTTTGCTAGTACTAAATTACAAGCGGATGTCATTTATTTAAATTTTTCTAAGGCTTTTGATCGTGCATCTTACAAAAAACTCCTATTTAAGCTTGAATGCCTTGGTATTGGTGGATCCTTGCTAGCTTGGTTTAGATCATATTTATCAGGTAGAAGACACAGAGTCGTGATAGATAACGAGTCGTCTGATTTCCTCCCTGTAACATCTGGAGTCCCGCAAGGGTCAATTTTGGGGACTTTACTGTTCTTGGTTTTTATCAGTGATATATAACTAATGCAATTTCAAAGGAAACATCATTCCCCTCTTTCTGATGACTCAAAGTGTTTTCGCTTAATTCTTGGGCAGGATGATGGCAACAAATTGCAGGATGACTTGAATAAGTTATTTCAATGGTCTCGTATCTGGGGTATGGAGTTTAATGCCAAGAAGTGTAAGGTTTTAAGGGTGATTCATATAAGATCAATCGATGACAGGGACTATTGTCTTGTTGGGATTAAGTTAAACCGTGTTGATGTCGAGAAAGACCTGGGGGTTTTGGTTAGCCACAATTTAAGCTGGAATAATCACGTTGATCTTATCTCCACAAAAGCTCAAAGAATGCTTAATGTCCTTTACCAAACTTGCAGGGACATAAATGATATTAGTACAAAGAAATTACTTTTTTTGCTTAGGTTCATTCGCGCCTTGAATATGCTAGCGTGGTATGGTCTCCTCATACCAAACGAAAAATTAACAATAATTATTTTGGAACAAGTTCAATGCAGGGCTACCAGATTCATTCTTGGAAGGGACTTTTCTGAGCAAGGGGGGGCTGGCAACGGCCTTTGATCTTACCACTTTTTGGCTTTCCATGATAGCCCCAGTTAAGAAATCTGTCAATCATTCAAGAACTGTAGCAAGCATGAGCAAAACGGGCTGGGAACAACAACAAAAACAAGTTCGTCTTCGCAGCGATTCGACAGTGGGAAGTGAACCGGGTGGGGGGGGGAGGCACTTGGGTATTTTTTGGGTGGGTATGTGCCGCCCGGGACTTCAAATTGGCACCCCGTTCTAAAAAAATTTCTGCTAAAATTGATACCCTGTTCTAGAAATGGGCCAATTTTTTATACTCTGTTCTAGAAAGTTTGTAAATTGAAATAGTCCCGTTTTTTAAAAAAGATATTTCTTTATTTGTTCGACTTATGCATCAAATAAATGCTTCTTCATAATCAGCAACAATTTTAAGCACAAGATAAAGCCATGGTCCACAATTTTTTTATTTCCCATCTTATTAAATTGTGTTATTAAATTATTAAATTGTTTATCCAAGATGGCGGAGTCAGCGCTGGCGGCTTGCGCCAAAATACGCCCGCCCTGCACCCTAAAACACAGGGTGCAACAAGAGCACAACAGTTTTCTTGTTAACGCATTGAACCATATTTTTAAAAGCAATCTGTCCTTGAATAATTTCAAATGTCTGCTTACAAAACTGGAGCTTTCGTGTATTTGAAGGACACACTGTTCATTTCCCTACCCTCTTTAAGCCAAGAGACCTTATTTCATAATCTGATTCACTTCATTTAGTATACATAATTCAGTTAGCTTTTAAACTTAGAAACACGGAAAAAACTTGGGAAAAAATGGTGGTACCAAAAATGTAACTATAGACTGCTCTTCATCAACATTTACAGCCCAAACAGACACGCTGTTCAAAACTCTAAAGGGTGAAATGGTCACCACCCTAAATCAGCAGCACATACCCATCTAGGCCAAATAAGCCAAAGGTAGTATCGTAGAAAGAACTGCTGAGGGGATTGGGCTCAAGGGACAATAACTTCTTTTGATGGCTGGTAGAAAAAATTTTACCTTGTTTATTTTAGTTGTAAATCAGATTGACAACTTACACAGACAATTGAAGTTGTACATTTTCAAGCTCCTTTGATTCTCTTTGCAAAACATTCAATTCTTTTTTCTGTTTCTTGTACTTCGACCGTTTGAGGGATTTTCTCAATGCATACCACTCTCTGTTGTACTCACTCTTATTAGCAACTGGATTAGTCTCTTGTCCCCACACTAAACCATTATAATCATTTATAAAATAGCTAAGATAGTACGCGCGCTCTGATTGGCCAAGAGGCGTGTTTGCATGAGAGTATGTAAACATGGTTGTGACGTCAAGATGTTTTGCTTTTTGCGCGCTAATCACGTAAGCACGAATTTGAAAAAGTTTTTGACTTCAAAACTCGACAAGGTTACTTTATTTACTCATTCCTTTGTCGGCTGAAACTTGGAAAATCTTTATAAACAAGCTGTGTAATTTTTTTTTGCTAAAGCTGACATTTTAAGCGAGAAAAATCTGTATTTTGGAAAACATCTTTTTGCAAAACAAGAACTGATTACACGTGCAAGACTTCGTGTACAAGACTTTGGGACTGGTAAGAATTTCTGTTTTAATCAGTACCATAACAAAGAGTTTTGGAGTTTTTTCTCGGTAAAGTTATTTTATAAAAGCAACAGAAAACTTTTTTCCTGTGTTTGCATAGGCTGATATAAACACTCAAGGGGTTGGGAGAATTCTTGACAGTTATGCAAACCCGAGAATTTGAAGGTTCAGTAAACCCCTCCCAGCCTTCTGATATGAAAAATAGCTTATACTGACAGACCCAGTATATGTGAAGCAAAGTGACTTGAACATTTACCCGGGCTTTTACTAAATTGGCCCTATATTTTGTCTTTAACCTCGTTAATATTTGTTGTGGCTCCCAGTGTACAAACAAACTTGCAAACAGCGAAGGACAAAATTGGTTTAACGAACATTCACGTACACGTATAACTGTGGCAAGACTCATACTAATGTTGTGTGCTAGTAGCATATGTTTAGGATAAGGAAGAGAGTCTTAATAGTGCTGTAAGTGGAAAAATATAAGAGATGGAGCAGGCTGGTCGCCCGCAAAAATTCACGGAGCTTATATAAAATAACTGAACTTGCCAAGATGCCGAATCACGAAAAGTGAAGTCACCCATGGACTGTTCATACATCATACCTCCTGATGTCCAAAAATTCTGTTAAAAAAGTTCATGAAAACCTTTCATTGATGCTTGGACGTGAAAAATCTTAAACCAAGGAAAACTTCATCGTCCTTCCATGTTTGCTTCCATGTGTGCATTCTCTGCCATATTTGTTTTGAAGGAAAATTGGTACTGAGTCTCACTTGGCCAGATTTCATAACTGGGGCAATCATGTAAACTCGGATCCAGACCTCGCTGCCAGCCCCCACCCCCTGATTCTGAGTATGAGCACCTTAGTTAGTTAAATTTATTACCTTTGAAGTATCACAGAGAAATTAAGAAAGTTTTACAAATCAATTGTAAAACACAGTTAATGGAGCGTGACACCCTCAATCAACAACATGTAACACAGTGTTATGCTATAGCCCTTATGAAACCTAGTAGAAGTTTACTCGTGGTGGGTAAAAGTACTGGGTAGTACAAAAAATCACAGCTATAGCTGGGAAATTACTGATACAATAGCAATCCTTGTTTTTGTTGCAGTTGGGGCTAGTTTCTAATGTATCGTTACGCTTTGTAATTGCGGTTTAAATCTCACGGCGACTTCCCCAAGCTTTGATTTTAACGCAAACTTTTATATTTGATTGTATTCCAGCACGTGCCAGCGGAGTCAGCTCGTAGTGCTGATAAGATAAAGTTCCTAGGACAACTTAACTTAATTTTTAACTTTAACTTTTATTATTCCATCGCTCATATAGTACAAACTCAGTAAAGCCAAAGCCGGGGGCTTATATGGCCTGTGGTCAGAATGACAGAAATTATTTTATATAAAAATGAAGACTGTAGGCTAAACTACAAAACTAAAACAAGATACAAAACTGAAATTAAATAAGTTTACATGCATGCAGTCCTATAACAGTCCTATAACAGTCCATAACTAGTGTCAAATAAACTAACAATAAAGTATGAGAATACTGCGCTAGTTCAATTTAGGCTTAAAAAGTGAAGTTTTAGTTTCTTATTGAAGATAGTAGTGGTAAGGCTGTCACGGACAGTCAAGGGGATATCGTTCCAAATAGTCCGGGCTTGAGAACCAATCGCAAATTGATACCCGAGGGACATTTTATGCAAGTTGAAACGAGAACGAGTTAGATAATCATGAAAATCACGATTAAAGTGGAGGAGGGAGGAAAGAGAGGCAGGTAAACGGCGATTAAAGTGTGAGAATACAAAACAAGAAACATGAAATTTATAAAGTGAATGGAGAGAAAGAATATTAAGCTTTGAGAAAAGAGGCTTAGAACGAGTTCTTGGAGGGGAAAAGGTGATAATTCGAATGGCTTTCTTTTGGAGTAGATGCAGGGGTTCAAGATAGGAGGTATATGTAGATGCCCAGATGACGTTACGATAGTTGATATAAGGTAGAAAGAGGGAATTATATAAGGTTTTTAGAGTGACCGAAGGTAAGTATCGTCTCGATTTAGACAAAATTCCTATAATCTTAGCGACTTTATCGCAGATGGAAGTGATGTGCGGTTTCCATGAAAGGTTTTCGTGAATAATTATTCCAAGAAATTTATGTTCCTGTACCCGCGCTATAGGGGTGTTATTTATTAAGATGTTTAATTCTGAAGGATTGATCTGTTTACGTCGTGGATGGAAGATGATGAATTTGGATTTATCAGGATGAACAGTAAGCTTGTTTGCGTTAAACCAGGAGGAGACATGAGAGAGCTCTTGATTAACCATTCTAAAAAAATATTGGTGTCATCAGCAAAAAGAATAAATGAAAGATAATTTGAAGAAAGAAAAAGATCATTAATGTATAGGAGGAATAATAAGGGGCCAAGAACAGAACCTTGAGGGCCACCACCCACAACAGTATCATTAGACGAAATATGACCATTGACCATAACATACTGTTGTCGGTTGTCTAAATAGCCAAGCTAGAGGAATACCACAGATACCATAAAAGTTTAACTTGTCAATGAGTATCTGATGATTTACAGTATCAAATGCCTTCTTGAGGTCTAAGAAAATTCCAATAGTGTATTCATTACTTTCAAAGCCTTCATATATATTGTTTACAAATGCAAGGATAGCCATAGTTGTAGAATGATCTGGTCTGAAGCCATATTGATGGTGACTAAGAATGTCAAATTTTTCAAGAAATGCAGACAATCTGAAGTAAAAGAGTTTTTCAAAGACGTTGGAAAGACAGGGGAGAATAGAAATAGGCCTGTAGTTAGAGAACAAGGAAGAGTCATCACATTTGAAGAAGGGAAGGATCTTGGCTGTTTTGAGCTTATCTGGAAAAACACCTTGAGAAAATGGCAGATTACAGATATGGGTCAAAGGGGCAGCTATTAAATCAATAGCATCTTTTATAGGGGAAATACAGAAGCCATCAAAACCCTCACATTTACTATTTTTTAGAGAATGGACTATATTAGCAACCTCAGTGGGAGAAGTTGGGTTAAGATAGAAACACTTAGCGTAATGACCAATCAGAAACTCTCTATACGTAATTTGAGTGGGAGAGATTTTATTTGCCAAAGAAGGACCAACATTAGCAAAGAAATTATTAAACTTTGTAGCTATCTGAGTAGGATTTGAGTATGAACCAGAACTATCTTTCATGTTATTGAAACGTTGCTCAGGTTCCCTTTTGGAGATAATCTGTTTTATGACTGACCATGTCTTTCTTAAATCTGAACTGACAGAGAGCAGTTTGTCATGGAAGAATTTTTTCCTGGCAAGTTTGATGAGAAAGTTGTATTTATTACGGTATCTGCCTACACCGTTCCGTTAAGTTGCATGATGCTGGCCGGAGCTTTCAGCTCGTAGTGCCATGGAGTGTTAGGCCTTATTAAGTTTTGTTTCTTTCGGACCTACCTAACTTGTCCGATCCGGCGCACGTAAATTAGTGCCAGGGAGATAAGTAAGGATTTATGGTCACTCTATGGAAGTCGTCCACCACGCCGATCGCGGAGCAGTGTTCCCCCCATTACGCCTTATGTTTGACGTCTTATTTTATTACACTTTATTGTAAAGCCTAGCTAAAGGAACTACGACATTAATGATTTAGTTTTCTTTCTTAAGTGTCTTAAGAATAAGTATAAGTTACACATTTTTGATTATGTATCGTTTCGCTCTTGTACAAAACCGCTTAGGAGTGTTGATCATTTAATGCTTGATGACCCTTTTATGATGTCTTTAAGAATTATTTTTTTGTTCAGATCTGTTGCCTGTGGAACGAATTACCTCTTAGTATAAGAGAATCAAATTCCTCGTCAATTTTTCATAAGAATTTGATAGCCTTTTATTATGATACGTTCAATGTAAGTTTTCTCTAATTTTACATTGTACTTTGCTCAATCATTTGTCCATTTATGGTATTTTTTTAATTGAATTTATATTTTTTTATCTCATGTCTTCTGTAGTTTTTTAATAACACTTTTTAAAATTACGTTTTAGATAGTTTTATTACTTACTTAATTCTCTAGATCTATTTATGATGTAATAATAGGTGGCTTATTTTTAAGGATTCTTGTTCCCTGTTTTAAGCCTACCTCAGATTGAGCAATTGATTGATTTAATTGTCATTGTAATAGTAAATCTGAAACTTGATTAAATTAAATGAAAAGCTAATATCTTCGAGACAAAAAAATTACAAATAATAAAATAATATTACTATTACATAATGATAAAATAACATTACTAAGTACTAATTAAATATCTGTTAACGCTAAGTGCTATGAAAGGAGATGGTTCTTATTAGACGTTTAAAACCAGCCAAAGTGGACTCTGTTCTAATGTTCTTAGGTAGAGAGTTCTGACTAAGTTTTACAGGCAAAATACTTGAAAGAGAGAAGACCATAAGAAGTGCAAGCAGCTCTACACAATGACAATATCTCAGTTCCTCTAAGAGAGTAGTCTGTCGCACACAACATTAATAACTCCTTAAGATATGCAGGGTGGAAATAATTGATATGCATACATTTATGAATCAATGATTAACATATTTTGTACTCACAGATTGTAAAGTGATGTAGCTGACTATATGTTGATTCCCTGCCATTAAAAACTACACACAGTGCACGCTTATTCAGTGACTCAAGTTTTTCGCTATTCCTAGAGCTACAGAAGTGCCATACTACAGAACAACACAATTTGCTAATTTATGGATATTGAAACTGTTGCTTCTGGTCCTTTTTATCTACTGATAGTTTTCGGATCAAACTCTAACTCTAACACCAATTTCGATAGAAATAGATACTCACAGGAAATGTTATGATTGACTTTTATCAATTTCAGAAACCTGCTGATTGATTAGTGTAGACATTTATCGACAACAATCAATTTTAATTAACTATCGAAATTATCTACATGTAACACCCTGATAACATCAGAAGGACTTTAATAATACAATATTTACCTCGGTATCCTTGTGGGGACTCAAACATAAACCATGGCAAGGTGTCTATAGGTTCTTCACCTGAGTGTCTATCTGAGTAGGTTGCCATGGTAGTAGGTGTTTTCACTACCAGGAGTGACGTTAATCACTGTATTTACAGTGCCAAGTTAAGCAGTATCGGTTGTGAATACACAATCATCATAAAACTTCAGATCTGACCTGGCAAAATAATTGAACTCCTGATAAGTTATTACAGAATTTACAAGGACAAATAAAAAGATGTTAAAAACCATGAAAATCTTTATCCATTGTACTTTATAACAGTTCATTTTGTTTGTTCATTCACCATAAAAACCAAGTTACAAGCTTAGTATTCATAAGAGTCTGGTTTGCTAGGATTTCTTGTGACTTCATTACTCATTCCTGTGACTTAGATATTCAGAAGAGTCAACTTATGGTAAGATATACTCTTGACAATTACCATGTAAGTAGTAAAAACATCATCTGAATTTTACGACTGTGCTCTAGCAGTGCCCTGTGGCCCCTGGCACCTACTTTTTGTTCCCAGGCAATAAGAATCTTAGTTCACTCATAGAAATCATATGCCGGGCACCCTGGTCAATTTTTCTTAGAGCACAACCTTGGATTTCATTTAAGATAATGTACAGGGAGTATCTTCCCCACCAGATCAACCCCCATAACCCTATCTCTAAACTTGAGAGAGTTACAGGGTTTGATCCAATCAAGTTTGATGCAGGTTTTGTTGACGGAGGGTGGATAACACCCATTTCCCTTGCTCTCACCCTCTTTTGCCATGTTTTGCTCCATCTTTCCGAGCTACATGATAATTCCTCACAAAGCAAGGTTAATAAATCTGTCGGAAACTGCATCACACGTGGCTCCCATGAAGTGGCCAAGCAAAGTGTGATGTTGCTTTGGTCATAAATCTTTCTTTCTATCGGTTTGCAGTGTTCCAGATAAGAGATGGGTCTTGGGTCAATGACCCAACAAAGAAGGTTTCCTGACCCGATAGAGGGGATGTAAGTGTTAAGTTAAATATGACGAGAAAAAAAAAAGCAGATGGTCTTGGTGACCCCTCAGATGGTCTACATGACCCCCGCTGGAAAGAATTAACTGGAACACTGGTTTGGTATCTGCAGTTGCCTAGCAACAAAGTTGTGACGGCGTACCGTATTGATGTCCAGTGTGACATCAAGGAGCATTGGTTGGCATTGTTTTGACTGTTTTTGCAGCCGTTTTGGCTATGAATGCTTATGTTGATTAATTTTGACAGCAAAAGTATTTTACAGAGAATATTGAAGCAATGTATACCAGTAGCTAATTCAAAAAAATAAGATTGAAAATCGAGACAGACAGATAATTTTAAGCCTACGGCTTGATTAGTCACAGGACATGTTTGTTTTTCTGAACTGCATTTCAGTCCGCATTTTTACGATCAAAACCTTGCTCTTCCCTGAAATCTGTGCCTTGGAATTATTCATCTTACACCGAGGCAAACCCATGTTGAACTGGTTCTTTCCCCGCCGATCAATGTGACCAGTGGATCACATCAACAATGCCCTAAGTTTTCTCAGTCTGAGTTTTCTGAGTCTGAGGTCTGAGGTCTGGGTTTTCTAGAAACCTGTTTCAACTCAGCTCTGTACATCAATTGGAGGTTAAGCCCACTTGGGTGAATTAACTCCAAAATAATGCAAAATGGCTTTGAAATACTTGTTTAAGTTCATTTTCCTCAAATGTCTCTTTGATTTCATGATAAATACATCTCCACAAGCTTCAAACAGTGTGAACGGCAGAGAAAAATGCTTGAAATGTAATAATTTTACCAGTTTAATATTTTATTATTCAATGCCAGCATGGCCCAGTGTTCTGGGAGCTGTATTCTCGCACAGGAGATAGTCATGGTGTACATTCGAATCTCCACGTCAATATTTTCATTTTCTTTGTACATTTTTTCTGTTAAGTTTTAGTTTTTTTGTTAATCAAATTTTTTTGTTTCCCTTTAATCTCACAGCTGACCCTTTTTAGCTTCACAAGGTTTTTGCGATAACACATTTCTAGTCATATTGTATGGAAGTCCAAATTTATTGATGACTTTCCAGTACCACATATATTCCACGTTCATGTATGTTCATTTATCTGAGTATGCAAACTACAACAGTTTAAATGTGTGGTTCCAGAAAATATCCATACCCCCACCACGGAAGACACTTTGATTTGCACCCCCCCACCCCTCAGGATTTTCCGTTCCAGGGGGTCTTTGATGACCCCCCCTCCCCCCAGGAATTTCCAGAATTTTAAAATGGGGACTTCGCTTACCACACTTTGGAAATTCAAAGTAGTTTTGGCACTTAAAAACAAAGAAAGTTAATACTAACTCAGTTATGAAAATACGGTAGAATTTTATTACAACAGTGCAGCGTAAACGTTTGTTAAGTTTATTATTCAGCCAAACTTTTAGCTTTTTCGCCATCACGTTTGCAAATTATGTCTGTGTCGTTTTTTTGTAAGCTTATAAATTAAGCTTAAACATTTGGTTTGCAAAGTTTAAACGTCGATTGTTCTACGTTTTTGTGTTTACTGCGACACGAACGTTATGAAGAGAATGTAAGTTTCACCCACTTAAACAACTTTGCAAACGGTAGCAAGAAAAACCCAGAAACTTACAAGGTTCCTGTCTGGCTGTTTTTATTTCTACAGATTTTGTCAGTTTCTTCAGGTTGACTATTATTTAAGGGCCGAAAACTTCACCAACACGTACATGCCAATGCGCTAGATTTCGTGAACGTCGTCACGATTGCAGAATTTACTAGCCAGGTAGCCGGGCCTTGTGAAGGTCGAGCAAGAAATGGGAACGAAAGTATTCTCGTCTCATCGCATTTTTCATGAGTTTCCA